CTGAGGCAAGAGAATCGCTTGAGCTTGAGACTTTGAGATTGCTGTGAGCTACAATGCCATGGCACTCTATTGAGGGTGACAAGTAAGACTCTGTCTCAAAAAAAAACCAAACTCTAAAGCACAATTAGCCCATCATGAGCTTCTGGGGTGGATGGTGAAAGAAAGTTTTGGATCAATGGAATCAATGTCTTTTACCTCACTTAGAGGGATGGAGGTTTAGGCTGGTTCTAATTAATTCCTACGTTCCCTTAAGTTACTATTAGTATTTTTGGTCTAATTACAGTTCTCTTCCTAAGAAAAGCAGATCATAGCAGATATTCCAAAGTAGAATCGGAATCAGAGATAGAGTGAGAAGTGGAAGACAAAAGACCAGTTTGTTGTTTAAAGCACCTGCACATTTCCAGATCTATGAGACAGGGTAAGCGTACCATACTCTAGGTCTAAGAGGCAGGTTTGACAGACATTCTTCAATTTACTGCAGGTTTGGCACACTTCAGTCTTCTTGAAACGCATTCGGACTCCTGGGCACCAGCGAAACACTGTGAATGGCCTGGCACAGATCTGGAACACAAACCAAGAGCCACTGAGGGTTAATGATCCTGATCTAGACAATAGAGGAGATCTAGTAACAATGGAGGATTCAAGGATCCCTGACTTCAACAATCACCTAGTCTAAACTTCATCTGATGTTTCAATCCAATTCTCAGCACTTTTTCCCAGTAGTTAAACAATTCCCATAATACAGAAATGAAGTATTCAAAAAGTCAAAATTCCCCCCCACCCCGCAGAGGTAAGCACCATTACTAATATGAACTTTGATCTTTGGGGGGTGGGAGGTGTGAGAAGTGTCATATAATCCTCTGAGAATTTTATGATAGCTATGACCTTACTGCTTAGCTAAAACTAACCTAAGCACACACTCATGTGCATAGTCATACAAAACTTGGTACACAGATCTGTCTGGTGCCCTTCTGTAGACACCATGATAAGAATCCCTACATTAGAAAGTTCATTTTCTTACTTCCCACACTACATAGTTACCAGCCAATGAATACATCAATAATATACAGAGTGGCCATAAAGTTCATGCACAATTTAAATTTAAACAGTTGTAACTATGTATAAAAATTGTATAGCACTGACTTTTACTGGAGGACCACAAAACTTACTAAGCTAAAGACTAATTTGGTAGAAAAAAGGAAAATAAATAAAATCATTACTCTTTAACAGACATGCTTACCTTGCACTCTTTCCCATATTTTTCTTTGGTCTAAAATAGGAAAACAACAGAGAAGAATTGGAGTCGCAGAAAGAAAGAAACAGATATTTACTATTCCCCTATATATAATCCAGGAAATGTATCTGGAGATCTCTGGCACCCTAAAGAAAAAACAAACAAAAAAACCCCAACCTTTTTGGGGGAGGCAGGAAGCAGGGATATAATATATTCTAACAACATACTATGAGTTAGAGTATCTCATGAATCTATGGATCTAATATCAAGTAAGTATCTTCTATAGGCAGCATAGCTCAGTGCGTAGGGCGCCAGCCACATACACTGAGGTTGGCAGATTAGAGCCCCGCCTGGGCCTGCTGAACAACAGTGACAACTGCAACCAAAAAATAGAGTGTTGGGGCGGGCACCTGTAGTCCCAGCTACCTCGGAAGCTGAGGCAAGAGAATCGCTTAAGCCCAAGAGTTTGAAGTTGCTGTGAGCTGTGACACCACAGCACTCTACCAATGGCGACCTGCTGAGACTGCCTCAAAAAAAAAAAAAAGTCTTGAATATACTAATATATCAATACCACTGAGACTGATCACAGTAATAGAGCCTGAACCTAATTATTACTAACTGCTGCTAGTTTTACTCTAATTTATAAGGATGGGGGCACCTAACACTAAAAACACATGATGCATCAGCCAAAAGACATTTGATTCGGAATCAGGAAACCTAGTTTCCAGTCCTGGTTCTCCTCATAGCTTGCTGAGATCCCTGGAATCAGACTATCTAACATAAAACCCCAGCTCCACTCCTTATTTACTATACAAAATGACATAAATTCTCTCAGCCTTTGGTTAACAGACCTACTTTCTAGGTAAATGCTCAACAAACACTAGCTTCTATTATGACTCCTACATTACAGAATTATTGCATGACAGTCCTTTGCAATTCGTCCAGCGCTTTGGATTAGGAAAAGAGCATCATTCCCCCTACTTGTCTAAGACAAACACTTCCCATACAGTGTGCAAGTACCACAACATTGACAGAACATGAACAATAGCTCCCATTTCACATGTGATCACTCACCATTCGGATATATGGGTTTTCTCCAAGACACGTCTGGCACAGAATGGGGAAGTCCTAGTGAAAATGACAAATGTGTTTGAGCACCAGGCTCTAAGGACCCTGCCATCTCAGTCGCACAAGAGGGGGTGGCGGGCAGTGAAGGGGGTGGGGAACCAGGCAGGGCAGGAACCTCAAGTCCAGCACGGCCCGGTCGCGGGAGGGGGCGCTGTCTGCACTTCCGGCAGGCAGCGGGAGAAAAGAAAACCAGCTGAAATAGGGTGAAGGGGGCAAGGATGTAAGAGGGGCTGGTCCTGGGGCCCTAGCTAAGCCCACGCCCTCCAAGCCCACAGGACGATCGTCCTCCGGCCTCCTGCTCCGGCCCAGCAAGGCCACCGTGCGGGCACTTCCCGGAATTCCTTCGGCCGCGCCGTAGCCCGGGTCCTGCCCGCCCGCACGGTGCCCGGCTTCGCCGCCTCGTTCCGACCTCCTCCGGCAGGCACACTCACCGCATCCTCCCAGTTCTGCCTGTTGTAGGTGTTGGAACCTAGAGAGGTCGCCATCTTGGGAGCGTCGGGAGGCAGCGGTAGCTTCCGAGTTGGGAGAGAAGACCGCCACAATCCCGTCAAGCCCCGAGGCCGGTGCCGGGCCTGTCTACGTCTTATTTACGCGTCTAGACCCTCTTCCGGGGTGGGGCTTGCGTCATGACGTTGCCTGCTTTTGGAATTTTCTTTCTTTAACAATTGGGGTCCTGGTATGCTACGCTTTGATGCTTCTTTTGAGCTTATTCCCGGTTGGAATGAAGGGCCACGAGTACAGTGGATTTATTAAAGAATTGAGGAAGGAACAAGATCTGAATGAAGGGCTGAAGTGAGCACAGCGTTAGCTACCTCTGAGCGCTTTTGTGCCAAATGCTGGCACATTCTCACAGTGCCAATGTTTCATTTGATTCTTACAATAACCTCTCTATGGATTCGCCAGATTTAGCAAAATAAAACAAAAATTAAAAAAAACAAAAACTGACTAAAGTTGGATTTCAGGTAAACGAATCATTTTTTCTCTAAATTTTTTTTAATTTTTGCTTTCAATTTCTCCTGGCTTTCACTTTATCTTAGTTTGAAGTTTTTTGTTTTTTTTTTTTTTTT